GCCTTGTACACAGAAAATATATATGAAAGGCACCTTTGAAAGGATTTATTAAGCTGTGGCACTGAGGTTCAGCTACAGCTGAGGGGAAACTCGTAAAGCTGAATACATTTTCAAACAGCTGCTGAAAACTAATAAAAACACCAGCTACCAAATTCATAACTTAAGGAACTCAAGAGTGCTTCCTATGTAATTGTATGTAGGTCTGGATTTTGCACTCTGGGGAAATACTAAAGGTGGGGGGGGGGTCCACATGAATTTGTTTCATACGCAGCTGTGGCTCTGACAGTGTTTTATTTAAAATGATAAATGAATAAAGATGTGGAGAAAATGTCTCTTTACTTCCATGTATTCATCACTACACACTGAAGGAGTGTTCTGTGCAGACTCTCGATGCTGGACGAAATCTTACAAGGAAACATTATTCAGAACCCTGAAGCCAGTTTATTGTTTTTTGTTTTTATTCCTATAGTCCTTCAGTCCTTCATCACTGTCTTTGTACAAGCTCACATTCAGCCCTACAAATTTATGAAACACAGAAGTATCTGCTGTCACACACATGAAGTTGAGAGACATCCTATTCTTAATCCACAGGGTTTAATATGCTGTCAGCCCACCCTTTGCAGCTATAACAGCTTTGACTTTCCACAAGGTTCGGAGTGTTTTGTGGAATTCATAACCATTGTTCCAGAGGTGCATTTGTGAGGGGATGACGAGAAGGCCTGGCTCACAGTCTCCACTGTTCATTCAGGTTGAGGTCAGGAGTCTGTGCAGGCCAGTCAAGTTCTCCTACACCAAACTCACTCATCCATCTTTATGGGCCATCCCCAAACTGTTCCCACTAAGTTGGGGGGATGAAATGAAGCATTAACAGTTACTTTCACTGGAACAAAGGGACCAAAAAACAACCCCACACCATAATTCCCCCTCTACCAAACTTTACACTTGGCCTGGTGCAGTCACACAAGTATTGTTCTCATGGCAACCGCCAAACCCAGACTGCCAGACGGAGAAGTGCCAGAG